CTCCCTCCGCCCTGGGAAGCAGGCAAGGGCAAACCACTTCCGAAATCTTGCCAAGGAAACAGCAGGGACTCATCCAGGCAGTCACCAGGAATCAACGCTGACTCGAAGGCACTATATGCATACATACATTCACACACACACACACACACACACACACACAAACAGCTATGCAAAACATACACTGGACAGTAATAAAAAATACTCACGTCAGAGTTAAAGCGAAGCTGACACACATTGCAGGAGATGACCTGTTTCTTCTTTAGGGGGAGTGACACGCCAAATGTGTGATTTATGACGGCTTTTTGCACTGGATCCATCTAGGAAGCAAATAACAGGACACTGATATCACAAATAAAATCTACTGTTTCTGAGAAATGTTTGTTTTTAAAGAGAGCTCTAAATCTGACAAGGAAGTTATGATTGCAGTGAAACTTTTTATCTGATTTTTATTTGGCATTTCTGCTCTGGCAAGTTCAAAGCAGCTTACCAAATTTTTCTGCTGCTTTACCCTTTGTGCTAAAGGAATTTGGTTCTCATAAGGAGTATTTGTCACATGGTATTACTATAATCCCTTTCTGACCTGCTGGAGTTTGGGGTTGTGGAAAGCAGTGGTGGTGGAAAGCCTTCTTCTTTCAGTGTTGGGTGACTTCAGTCTCCTTACCTCCAATGCTAGCTCGGGCAAAGCTCAGAAATTCATGGCCTTCATGACAACCATGGGCTTGTCTAAAGTCATCTTTAGGCCAATCCATGTGGACGGTCATACTTCAGACCTTGTGTTTTCTTTAGATGTTGTATTATCTGGAAGTGGAGAGGCTTTCTATTATTCTGTTGCTATGATTGGATCATGCTCTGATCCAGTTATGATTAAGAGCCACACATGATAATTATGGAGCAGCAGGCCTGGTTTGGATAGTCTATCCCTGGTGCCTAATGGATCCTGTTGGGGTTTCCCAGCTCACTGGCAGGCAGTTCATTTCAGTGCCTGCTGGACTACTGACATTGGGAGGTGAATTGGGTACTGGACTCTATAGCCTCCAAGCAGCCTCTTTCTAGGCGCCATTCCTGACTGGACACTTGGCTGTTGAGACTCTCTGGGAAATGAAACATCAGGAACAACTTGGAACGCTGGTGGAGAAAGACGAAAAGTGAATTCAACCGAGCTCAGGTATGTAACTATGTTCAGGCCTACACTGTGGCAATAAGACAGCTGAAACACACTTATTTCTCCTTCCTTACTGCAGTGGCAGACTACTGTCCTGTGGCCCTGTTTAACATTATTAACTCCCTTTAAGGAGGAGTCCTTAGAGAGATTTCTCATCTGGCTGCTGTGACCATCTGCACAGGACTTTGCCGGCAAAGTCACATGTATCTGCTGCAGTTTTGACCCTGCATGGGCAAAGTCTGTATTGGTGACCGAAACTTTATCTTACTGTGTTGTCTGAGATTCTTTTTGGCCTGTGAGTTCTAAGGAAGTAGATAGGGTGCTGGACTAGACTATCTTCTACCACATGTTGGTTGGACCCCTACCTGTCCTGGCTGTTGTGGAAAGTGAGTAGAGTAGTGCCCATCTGGATTCATGAGATTGTCAGTGTCTCTTTACAGGAGGGGCAGCTCCTGGCTGCCTTGAAGGAAACTATAATGCACCCCTTGTTGAAGAGGCCATCTCTCAATCTTGTGGCTTTGAATAACTATTGTTCGGTTTACAGCCTTTTGGGATGAAAGTTGCTGAAATGGTGATGACACATCACTATAGAGGAAGTGGATTTTCTGGACCATTTTCAGTCTTAGTGCAGGCCTGGGTAGGGGACTCAGATGGTACTGGTCACTCTCCTGGATGACTTCTTTTGGACCTGGATGGGGTAGTGCAGCTCTCCTTGTCTGTCAGTCCTTCAATGTAGGATAGGTCAGGAAACAGACACTAAAAGAAATACTAGAACTCTATTTTATTGATATAAGCTATAATAATAGAATCTTGAAAGCCTGACAGTGTTTCCCTTTCCCTCCTCCTTATACCAAAGAGAGTAAAGGTGGGGCAATCTTGAATTTCTTTCTCACGCTCTCCTGTTTCCTGGGCTATTTTTATGTCTTACTAATGGTTGCCAGATAGTTTCTTCAAGGTCATCTCTGTACTGCTGTACATTGTCCGTTTAGACTATTCAGCAATGGGGATTGGGGCACTGTTTTACAGTGGTTCTCCTCATTCCTCTGTGGACAGGTTCAGTGTGTTGTAGTGGGGGAGGAGAGATCAGCCTGGGATACCACAGGGCTCAGTCCTCTCCCCATTTTTAAACATTTATATGAAATCACTGGGGGAGATCTTTTGGGGTATGGTATCACCAGTATGTTAATGATATCCAATTATACATCACTATCCCAGTTTGTAGGGGAGATGGTATTGATATTCCATCCTGATGCCTGGAAGCTGCAAGGATCTGTATGGGACAAAACTGTAGTAGGATAGAAATTGAATAAAAAATGAAAATAAATATAAGTAGTATCCCCTTAAATTCTCTATAATAATGCAAGAGAATTAGCAGCACTTTGGTAGTTGTAATAAAACTGGATGGTTGATGCTTCATATGCACAAGATAGGGTATACAAAACTAAGAGCATGTTTTTCTCTCTCTTGGTCTGTGTTATGTACCACCATAATCACATACTAGACTCCTAGCTGTTAAGATTATAAAAACAGAAAAATATCACAATTAAAAGAAAATTCTTAATTACAATGACTACCTAACCAAACATGTCAAGTCAAGACAACCACCTCCCCTCTCCCCAGTCTCTCTGGAACAAATCCCTGCTGTGTCCTGCTCTTTAGAGATACACATGGCTCCTATTCTCCTGGGGTTCCAGAAATGCCTTAAGACGTGGCTCTGTTTCCAGGTCTGGGTTAGAGTGTCTGTGGAGCCCTCACTGAGTCTTTTTTCTGAATGTTGGGACTGCTGTTTGGCCCAGGCAGTCATGCTCTTTGTGTAGGATATACAGGTAGTCCTCAACATACAATCACAATTGGGACCAGAACTTCTGTCGCTAAGTGATGTGGTTGTTAAGTGACTTGCAGCCAATTTTATGACCTTTTTTTGCCATGGTTGTTATGCAAATCATGCAGTTGTTAAGGGAATCCAACTTCCCCCATTGACTTTGCTTGTTGAAAGCCCCCTGGAAAGGTCACAAATGGCGATAATATGACCCCAGGATGCTGCAATCATCGTAAATGCATGCCAGTTGCCAAGTGCCTGAATTATGATTACATGGGGTCATAAGTGCGAGGACTAGTCACAAGTCACTTTTTTCAGTCCCATTCTAACTTCAAACAGTCATTAAATGGATGGTTGTAAGTCGAGGACTATCTGTATTGTAGGCTATCCAGAGCTGTTTTGGGGTTGGATGGCCTTAACAAATTTAATAAACAAACCAACAATTCCATTTTGTCCAGCTTCCAGAAAGCTGTGAGGGTTGGTGACAACCAGGCCACTGGTTGGCCTGCTATGAGTTAAAGGTGGGTACTAAAAGCTTGACATTCACTAAACTATTCATCCAGGCAAGTGTGTCTATCTCCACTTCAAATTTATCTAAACTTTTAAAATTCCACTTTAATCAGCCTTGTTTAGTGTAGTATATTCTTGAATTAGCTGTGAATGATGTGGAATTGTTGCCTTTTTTTCAGTCCTGAATCTGAGTGTAATTAAGTTTCCTTTAAAAAATTAAGCAATATTTTGGGGGCTGGTTGCTGCACTTGAACTTTGAATGGAGTGTTGGGGCACATAATCAAAAATAATCAGGACCAGGTTAGAAAAAAGGACTTCAATACAAAACATTTTTTAAAAGTTTAATTCATGAAATAGAGTCAACATTATCCTCTGTGTATTTAATAATTTTCCCTTCCTGTCATATTAAAAAATATAATTCAGTGGCAATCTTTCAAAGTGCTCTGGGAACCACACCCATGGACTTCAGGGCCTTCATGCAGCCCTAAAACAGGGGTTCCTAAACTTTTTGCCATCACACCTCACTTTAACGTAATCTTAATGTACACACCTCCTCTAAAATTTCAAACACCAAAATGAAGACAAATGAACAATGAAAATAATACAGTTAAACCATTTTTTAATACAGACATAATAAAGAAAAAACCAAAGGTTCTTCACACCTCCCCTGGACTCTGCTTCATCTCCCCAAGGTAAGTACACCTCACAGTTTGGGAAACCCTGCCCTAGAACTTCAATTCTTGCACATTTGCTCTACACCATTTAGAAGACATAACCTTCTATCATGTTTCAGTCTTCAGGTTGGATCCACACTAGGCTTGACCAAAACTTCATTCACAAAATGCTATGCTGGAAGAATTTTATCTATGTATTTCCCTTATTCACATGACCTGCAAAAAAATTGCTCTAGCAGTTTGAGGTTGGGGGGCTGCAGAGGCAGGGAGGAATCATTTTCTCCCTTCCTCCAGTGTGATACTCCTCTAGTTCTCTTTCATGAAAGGAAGGTGCCTAAAATTGGCTTTAACCTATTGTTTTTTCTGAACGAAAACATTTCAAATATTTTAATCTTCTTGGAGATAAATTTTTCCATTGTTAACCCTACAGGAAACTGATAAGCTTTCTAATTTTCTGATATAAAAAATAATTGGGAAAACCATCCTTGGGGTTTTTGAAATGCACTTCAGACTTTTTTTTATTAGCAAGATAAGAAAAAATGACACATATTCTCCAAGGACTTTTATTATAGAATCAACAAGTGGACTACATGCAACAATAGAACTGATGTTCAAAGGTAGTATGTGTAGGCATTTGAATCTCAAATAAGACGAAAGTAAGTCTCAACTAGGAGAAGGAACTGTCCTACGTCTGTGCTGAGAGAAGTGGAACGGAGGTATGAACCATGCCTGTAGGGGATGCATCCAAAGATGGGCAAGTGTACAAGTGAAGTGCACCTACCATATGATCCACACTTGGAGAACCATATGGGCCCTAATTCTTTTTAGGAAGGAGATTCTGCATACAAGCGACTGAAGTGTATGGAGTTACATCAGCAGTACTGTCATTGCACTAAATTAGATAACCTGGAAAGGAAGAAAGGAAGACTGCTAATGATTCAATCAGAGGCCATGATGCTATAGGAGTAGAACTATGTGGTGAGACAGTTCGGCACCAGAATACACAGCTTGAAGCCAGTTGTCTAGATACGGAGAAAACTGATACCTTGGAACTGAAGAAATCCAGTGATAAATACCCTTTTTTAAAACTGTCAGGGCCATGGAGAGACTACATAGTAAAACAGTAAATTGGTAAACAGAGCCAGCAATTGT